CCTTCAAAGTGCTCTCCACTCCAGAATCCATTGTCACACGAAAATAAACACTCTAAGATTGTCAGGGAAACAGTATGGAAGAGAACGATTGAAGGTGTGATTAGATCACTTTCCTTAGAGTGTTTATTTGCCCCCACTACTTCGTTGCTGGTAGGATTTAGGCAAACCACCCCAAGGAGTCCCTCCAATCAAAGTCAGAAAGCAGCACCTTTCGTGACTTCTGTGTTTGTGTTTTTGGAGAAGGAAAAATGAGGAGAAGAAGATGATCATTGGAACAGAGATTCGGCTGCAGAAGACTTTTATAGTGAAAACGGCAGTTCCCTTCCGAAGGGTTGCGTCGTTTCACAAAGATTACTGGTTGAACTCCAAGGTTTGGCCTTTTATATGTTTTGATATAAAGAGTTTAGTGCCTCCTTTCAAATGGGTGAAACAGAATGTAAGTCTGTTTTTGCCCGTATGTTTTCATAAACAAGTTTGTCGAGTTCTGTGTTCTGTTAGGTCGATGTTGATGTTGGCAGTCCCTTTGCTGCGTTAGAGGTGGCCTCTTCACCCTAGCTCACACGCTCGTGCTACAGACACTTGAGCTGCTGGCTGCTGCTACTGTCTACTTAATTATGCTTTTTGTTTTTTTCCCTTCCCTGTTGTGTGCTCTTGCTTGCTATGTGCAACAAGTAGTGGAGAAACTGTTTGTGACTGCAGGTTGGTCACATGCCCCTAGCAAAGGGTGGAGAGAAAGGACTTTACAAAGAGCAATTTGCAGGCTGAGGAGTCGGTGGAGAGAATGAAATCAGTGCTTGACTTGAAGGGCCTGGAGTGTGCTGGAATTGCAGCAGAGCTTGCAGCATGGACTGCCCAGATTTGTAACCAAGGATTTGTATACAACAAGTATGTAGAAGTTGTATGTAGTGCAATTAGTAGTTGGTTACAGTTTGTACAAAGATTTTTATTGATAGAATTTATGAAATAAAGCCGCTATTTTTCATAAATAAAAAATTAGGTACCACAATCACATGTTTCTCTAGTGACTGTTGATTAGTATCCATTACTTGATTTTTCTTGTGATTAGTACATAGCATTTATCACCGGGTCCCTGTGACCATTAAGACGAAACCCATTGCTTTCAATTGATCACAATCACTACAGTCTCGTGATTATCGGACAAAATCCCATAACAAATAACCCAATAAGTCACGTGAAGTTCTGTGACTATTTCATAATTTAGTTACGGTAATGTTCATGTGTTTAAATGTTTGTTACGGGAATTACCGTGATGAATAGATCTTTTGTCATGGGGTTTTTCCTGTTATTGTTTCTTCTGTGTCACGGGATTTCCCGTGATCTTTGACCTTTGATCACAGGCACGCTTGACACGGAAAAATACTGTGACAAATGTTTTACATCATGGGAATTGGCTGTTTAATCATGGGAAATCCCGTGATCGAAGGTGAATTTTCCTGTAGTATATGTGCTAAATAGATAATGTCATCTTTCATAATCTTCAGTACTATTAATTAATATGTAAAAGCCAAGTCTGGGTGCTACTATTCGTTAGTAGCTCCAAACTCCATCCCACAAGTGGGGAAGTATCAACTACTTTCTATTATCCCTCTCTCATTCTACAACTTTTGTCTACATCTATTGTTTTTCTTTTCTCTATTTCCTTTTTGTTGACAATCATTACAACTGAACCCAAATTAATATATAAAAGCCTAGGTTGTGAGTTACTATTCATTAGTGGCTCTCACACTCCCCAAGTGCAAGTGGGGAACTTCCAAGTTGCTTCTTTTACCCCACTCTACATTTTATAACCTTTGTGTTTAGCTATTGTTCACTAGGTTTACATCTATTAAACCCAAACAAAATGGTATCCTAACTTGAACCCAAGGCTGCTACTACGAGTTTTGTATCGGGAGTCGGGACCGAGTGTCATCAACTTTAGTGTTTTTCTTTTCTCCTTTTCCTTTTTGTTGACCATCATCACAACTAAACCCAAATTAGTATATGCCTAGGTTGTGAGTTACTATTCATTAGTGGCTCTCACACTCCCCAAGTGCAAGTGAGGAACTTCCAAGTTGCTTCTTTTACCCCACTCTACATTTTATACCATTTGCGTTTAGCTATTGTAGACTAGGTTTACATCTATTGAACCCAGACAAAAGGGTATCCTAACTTGAACCCAAGGCCGCTACCACAAGTTTTGTATCGGGACTAAGTTTCATCAACTTTAGTGTTTTTCTTTTCTCCCTTTCCTTTTTGTTGACCATCATCACAACTGAACTCAAATTAATATATAAAATTCATTCGATTCGGTCAAAGCGACGTGAAACTGACTTTAGTATTTATGAATTTCTCTTTTTTTTTCTTTTTGTTGTGAGTTACTATTCATTAGTGCTCTCACACTCCTCCAAGTGCAAGTGTTGAAGGTCCAAGTTGCTTCTGTTACCCCACTCTCCATTTTATAACTTTTGTGTTTAGCTATTGTTCACTAGGTTTACATCTACTGAACCCAAGCACAAGGGTATCCTAACTTGAACCCAAGGCCGCTACCATGAGTTTTGTAACGGAACTGAGTTTCATCCTCTTTAGTGTTTTTTCTTTTCTCCTTTTTCTTTTTGTTGACCATCATCACAACTCAACCCAATTAATATATAAAAGCCATTCGGCCAAAGCAACTTGAAACTGACTTTAGTATTTACGAATTTCTCTTTTTTTTTCTTCTTTTGGTTGAGAAGACAATTGAACCCAAATCTAAGGTATTAACGAGTGTTGTACTGTGAGAGAGTTTATCCGCTTTTGTAGTTTGTAGGTAGAACCAAATATTAATTAGTTAAAAATAGTCAAAGCGAGTTGAACAAGTTGTTTACCAGTTTTAGATCGAAATCGAGTTTTGTACGCTTTCATATTTTTTTATTTCTCATTTTCCATTTCGTTGAGAATGAGAATTGAACTCTGGCCCATTGTTGACGAGTTTCGTATTGAGAGAGAGTTTTATCCGCTTTTGTAATTGACATGTTAGGTAAATTATGAATTTGTTAAAACTGGGTCGACCCGGTCAAAATGAGTTGAACGCAGTGTTGAGAGTTTAGGGTCGTGAGTGAGTTTTATCCACTTTATTTTGTTTTATCTTTTTCCTTTTGGTTGAGAATGACAATTGAGTCCAAATTCATGAGTATCCAACCTAATTCGACCCGACCAAAGCGACTTGAAACCGGGGTTTACAAGTTTTCGGCAGGAGCGAGTTTTATCTTCTTTTTTTTTTTTATGTAATTGGCGAGTTGTGTTAGGTGTGAATTTGCTCAAAACTTGGTTCAACCAGGTCAAAGTGAGTTGAACCTGGTGTTGACGACTTTTGAGTCAGTAGCGAGTTACCTTTAGTGTTTTTCATTTCATCTTTTCCTTTTTGTCTGAGAAAGACAATTGAACCCAAATTCATGGTCATCTAACCTAATTTGACCCGACCAATGCGAGTTGAATCTCCTCAAACCTGCAATCAGTCCCAAAATTTCATAAAGGAGAACCACGATTACTTCGAACCCAAAAAAAAGGCCAAAAGAGTACGACTATGTTTGGTCCGCATTTTAGATGTTTTATGTATCAAAAGGTGAAGGCAAGCCAAGCACCTCTAAAGTTTCGCTTTTTAAAAAGCTGAAGTTTTTCACAATTTAAAAGTAGAAGTTCCGATTTGAAAATACGAAATTGTCCTTACCATATATTATTCTTTTTCTAGAAAATATAATTTTCTTTCATTTATATTATTATAAAAAATAAATTGAAAATAGTATTATTTAATATGAAATAAATATAACATGATCCTTGTTAAATAATTTTTTATTTTTAGAATTTGTATTCAAACTTTATGTTAGAAATATTTCTTAATCATTTTACATGACCTTTTATATTAGAAAGTAATTCTGATAGTTTTTCTGCTAAACACTTAACTGCTTTTTTTGAATACTTTTTGAAAAGATTTAGAGAATTTGCTTTATTCTACAAAAATTACAGCAGGATCAACCACTAGCCATACAAATTGAACCAATAGCGTTATGAGAGAAGTTTAAACATAAATAATATATTCGACGACCCTTATACCTTATGCAACTTCATCGACTATATGTTATTGTAAATAACAAACCTATAAAAAGAATAAAATAAGAATATTTTCACTTTTGGGTCAACATTAAAATATTTATTTTTCTTAGTGAGCGGGCTTTTACTAGTTTAATTAAATTTGGGTGATCAAAATGTAATAGTTTAGGAAATATTAACTTCCCTTCAGCTTAGTTTGGCCCTGCTCTAGCTTTTGCAGAAGCAGCTTCTGGCTGGAGCTTTTAGATAAGTACTTTTCAAAAAAAAAACAGTTGAGTGTTTGGCTGTAAAACTATTAGAAGTGTTTTTTAATATGAGAGATTATATAAAATGACTATAAAGGACTTATAATATAAAATATGAATAAAAATTCTAAATGTAGTCAAAATGGATCTTGTTATATTTTTTTATATTAAATAATATAATTTTATAATTTATTTTTAAAATTATATAAATGAAGAAAAATTATATTTTTTGAAATAAAATTAAAATATGGTAAGATAATCTTGTATTTTCAAAACAGCTTTTCGCAGAAGCTCTAAATCGGAGCTTCTGCTTTTATGTTATACAAAAGCGCTTTTCGGTTTTTCAAAAGCCGAGCTTTTACAGGTGTTTGGCCCTACTTCAGCTTTTAAAGCCGAAAAGCACTTCTAAAAGCCGGGCCAAACATAGATATATATATATATATATAAACATTTTCACTTCTCTAATTCCTCTGCCGGCCTACTGCCATATTCCAAAATCCAAACGGCAGTGTCAAGGGTGAACACGCATCCATCGGTCCGCTGCAGAATCTAGTTAACAACCAGCTTTCTTAGTTGAGCTAGCCAGCTATTCCAGTATTGTCAAATAATTTAATTTGTCCATAAATACCTAAAGAACCGCTCGTTTCGTATAATCTATTCCCTTGATACGAGAAAAATCCATAGCATACCATCCCTTAGTTTTTTGCAGAAGAATGAGGCCCATTGGGAAAATCTATTCGGAGAAGCTGCCGTACAGAAAAGCGGCACTTATCCTCATAGCCGTCGTCATCGTTTCGGCGGTCATCGTAGCATTGGCACTCACCGTTTTCCGGCCGAGGGACCCTGCTGTGACGATTGACCTCGTCGGCTTGTCAAGAGTTCAGCTGAAGGACCTAGTTCTCGCCAAAAATCTCACAACAGCCGTCGCCATAGGCATTAGCAACGACAATTACGGCAGCTTTGCATGGACAGATTTCACGACGGCAGTCAAGTATAATGGACAAGTCGTGGGAGAGATTCCGATTCAGGAAAAGTTGGTCCCTCAGCGCTCATATACAACCATCACGACCTCCATAACCATGCAATTGGACAAGTTGAATGAAGACTTGGCAGCCGTGGCGGCCGCTCTGACTGGCGGAGGTTTGAATCTCACTTGCTCGGTGACGGTTTATGGCAAGATCAGACCGCTTAGGATTTGGCCCAGGTTCCATGGTTCGGTTTACGTTGATTGCGTGACTTCTTTGTACATCAATACGTACCGTTCAGGTAACGAATTCCACATCTTCAAAGGCCAATCTACCTGCTGGACTAAACTCAAATTGACCTCAAATAATGTTTAATTTCGACAATGTGGAATATGTAAAATGTTTTTTCGTTTGAAATCCATATGCAACTGAGCCTCCATACTTTTTTAGGATATTGATCACTTAAATGATACGCCCTTTCTACCACTCCAACTTCTACAACAGTTCTCCTTCGCAGATCATTTGCTGGTTTTGGACCGCCAAGTCTAATCGTTCTACTTCTCAGTTTTGTATTTGTAAACTTGAATGACGGTTAGGAATGTAGGAACGTTGTAATAAATTCGATGATTGTATCAACTTTTAAATTCTTCTGTAATACGTTCTTGTGTTTTCCTTGTGCATTCAAAAAACTTGACATTGAACTCTGAATACTTCATCTCGTACAAAACTTGAACCAAAAATTTAATTCTTGCTTAACATGAACAACCTTCTTTATGGTGAGAGATAGCTAAGTTCAAATATTGCAACTAGTTTTGATCCGGACAATGCTGTGTCCACATGCCTTCAGGGTAAACTAAAGATCGATCGCCGAACGAAGCTCTTTTGAGAAACCTCTTGTACTTATTAGGCATCTTGCTTTTCATGTCTAGGAAGGGAATTGTGACATTCAATTGCCTAACGAGGTTGATGAACTTGGTATATTTCTTATCGTGTTCACTTTTACTAGGCCGAGAAGGATAAAGAACTTGAGGCAGGAACCTTTACTTCTCAATTGACTTTTCTTTTGAAAGAAAAGTGTCGTTCTTCCAACTTAAATGGGATTTTCCCTCAACATCCTTGAATTCCTTAGCCAAAATGATCAATAAATTCCAAGCAGTAGCTTCCTCTTCAATTTGTTTCTTGGGCGATTGAACTTCTTTTGGACTCCGGAAGGTTATAACAAAAAATTCTTCTTATGGAAGCGGCTTGGCATGGCTTGGAGATGTATCCCTATCCAATGTCCAAATCCATCTCTGTTTGAGCAGATGAGTTTATATTATCCTCCTCCTGATTCTTAAGGTCCCTTCTTGATTCAAATACGTTTTGAGTGGTTTATAACCTTGAAAGGAACAAAAATACCATAAATGGATGAAATAGTACAGAACACATTGAAGGTCTATCATAAACACATTAATCAAATAGTTATGAAGTGCATATGAAATATCATCAAAACTAATAAAGATGCATTGATAGAAGGGTAAAATATATCACATATATATGAGTGATAAACATTATAAATTTAGTGACATCATAAATACCCCACACTTGAACTTTAATTGTCTCCAAGAAAACACGTCTCACAATCATACAACTCAATGAAAGATAGGAAGCTCACTCAATTTCGATCTTAGGTAGCGGGTCATAGGCAACTTACACGAGATAATCCTAACCATATCACTATGTAAGAGCATTATGCAATCCAATCCAAGCAAGAGCAACTAATCATGCTTTAGAGTCTCAAAACACCAAGGGTGAAACTTTTGATAAACATTTTTAAGCTTTGAGTGCTTCTATCTCAATTCCATATACCCTTTAAGCACTTTTCCCTTTACACCCTCAAACTCCTTTCTATTTTTCTCAATTTTTCTTCTCTTCCTTCCTTTCATCTGTTTTTTTTTCCTAGACTTTTCATGGGTGGAGAGCTCTATAATTTTACCCTTATAAGTTGACCAAGAACTTAGAAGTCCATTTTCCTCAACTCATGTGGAGAGTCAATAAAATTAAGAGGTGTTGAAGACTTTATCCGTGCCCTTAAGAACACATCCTCAAGTTGGCAGTCTGTTCGACAGGTGAAAATTTTACTTGTACTAGAGAGGAACTAGCATCACCTTGTAAGAGTTCCCCACTAAAGAACAACTAGTATCTCTTCCAATACCCAATTTTTTGCAATGATTGGAAATAATAAAACATGTCTCCATAGGTAGATTTTTCATTTTACTAAAGATACAGGTCACCCTTTTACAAATAAAAAACTTTAAGAAGTGGAAAACTACATTGGATTATCATTGATTCAAATTAAGATGAGTAGTAAAAAGCTTGTAGAGGAAGACTAAAGTCATTAGAAGAAAAGCTTCATTAGTTTTCGGGGGGAAAATTCTAATGGATCATAAGACTAGTATTTTTCAAAATTGATTGACTAAATATTTGTCATGTATCAAGCATAGTTAAGTAACATGTAACACCCAATTCATTCCCACACTTTATAATGTGCAATGTCCTCAATGGACTAAAATACAGTGAGTAACGAAAAAGTTTGAAAACAAGGTAGCCAACTTTGTCATACAAATTTTGAAATAGAGGTATAGACAAAAAACACATATAATATTTAGGGAGATTCTTTATCAAACAAAAGAAAACAAAGGAGAGAGAAAGTGCTTCAAATTCTAAATCCAAAGCAAAATGATCCATTGTAGAACATAGCCAAATTCACTTGACCCTAAAGCCATGATCGTATTTTCATATGGTCTCTCACGGAATCATTACTTCAAATTGATGTAGTGTTTTGTTGAAGAAGTGATCACTTTAGGAGGTTGGGGTGCCTCCGGTTTTGCAGAACATAAGTCCAAAAGTACGCAGTGAAGAAATGTAAATATAAGCTAATGGATGAGTGAGAGATCTGAGAAGGAAGGAGTTGCATAGGAAAGCTCCCCTTAGGTATCCTAAACATGCATCCCTCGATGATTGGTGGCATAAAAGCAAACGATTTTTATTTCGTCAGATTACACATTGTGTTGAAACATTTATCCAAACTAATGGGCAAAAATGACCATGTGGATTTCTCCCTTGAGGAGTGCAAGGTCAACTTAAGCTCTCATTTGAGTGGAGAAATAATGAGATAGACACAATCGTATTAAACCCAACATCCAGTTTACAAGGTTTGAACCCCCAGGGTTCACATACCTATGCAACTAATGAACTTAGCCAGTCATGGGTAGGGGTTCCTCGGTGTTCATTGATTGAAACGAAGACTACAGAATGCCTATAGGAAAGGACCCCAACTACAGAGAAAACAGGACCAAGGGCGTCATTCCTGACACCATTTCTCCCTCGAAGGTTGGTCTTGTTCTAAGTTAGGAGGGTTACACTGTCGGCAAAGTAACGACCCTCCCTTGACCTCTCGTCTCCTCCCCCTCATTTCTATCCCTATAAAACTATTTATAAGCCTTTGATTAGGCATTGTAGGGAGATAATTTCGCAACTGCAGTGCCATTCAACCAATAATAGCGCTCCAAATACGTGGCCAGCATTTGAGGATATCGATCACTTAAATGATACTGTCTTTTCTACCACTCCAACTTCTACAACAGTTCTCCTTCGCAGATCATTTGCTGGTTTGGACCGCCCAGTCTACTCGCCCTTTACTTCTCTGTTTTGTATTTGTAAACTTGATTGACCGTTAGGAATAATATAGGAACGTTGTAATAAACTCGATCATTGTATCAACTTTTAAATTCTTCAATAATATGATCTTGTGCTTTCCTTGTGCAACCAAAAAGTTTTGATATTGAACTCGAATGCTTCATCTCGTACAAAAATTGAACCAACGATTGAATTCTTGTTTAACATGAAAAATCTTCTTTATGGTGAGCGATAGCTAAGTTCGAATGCGGCAACTAGTTTTGATCTGGACAATGTTGTGTCCACATGCCTCTAGGATGAACTAAAGATCGATCGCCTAGTTTAATAGTCATGGTGGTAGGTCGAAGTTAGCCTAGATATAGTTCCTTGAATAATGTAAAGGACACCACGTTGAGACATGATGTTAAGTGGGCTAATGCTCTATCTATGCTTATCCTAGGGATGGAGCAAGGGATTAAGACTATACCTGAATCCTTTCGCTTTAGTGGAATCTTGTTGTAGTGAATGCCGAACACTCTTTACTTAACTCAACCACAGATGCCTTTTCAAACTTTCCTCTTTCCCCAACGAAGCTCTTTGGGAAATCTCTTGTACTTAGTCATCTTGCTTTTCATGTCAATAAAGGGAATTGTGACATTCAATTGCCTAACGAGGTTGTTGAACTTGGTATATTGCTTATCGTGTTCACTTTTCTTGGGCTAAGAAGGATGCTAACAGGATGATCTATGCAACAAGTTCTTTGCAAGGTACATTCCACCTTGTGAGACGGCTTTGATGAGAAGTGAGATTACTATGTTCCTTCGAGAGGAGGATGAACCATTGTTTGAATCATGAGAAAGATTTACATCTCTGCTACTCAAGTGTCCTCACCATGGCATAGCCGATTTGTTACAAGTTGAAAGTTTCTACAATGGGTTAACAAAGGAATCACGAAGCCTCATTTTTGCGGCTAGTGGAGGTACCATTCGAAACAAAGAAGTCGGAGAACTTTAACAACTAATCAAAGAGATGGCCCTTAATTGCTACGATTGGGGTGACGGAAGAAGGGGCAAGAACATATGAAAGGGAAATTTATTGAAGATCGAAGAACAATCATCTCTATCGGCCCATATTCAAGAACTTTCCAAGAAGATCGATCTTGTTGCATCATCAATGAAAGGGAATGGGAAACAACTTATGAAGTGTGATTGGTTTGGAGACTCGGGTCATAACATGGAAGAATTAAGTCTATGATTGAAGCCTCTATTCAATTCGAGCAAGCCAACTTAATTTGTTGGAGGTTAATCTCGAGGAAATAACCCTTATAGCTCGACTTATAATCTAGGATGGTGGAATCACCAGAACTTTCTTTGGTCTTCTCCGACGGAAACCTCCGGATTTCAATCTCAAGCTCCAATGCAAACTGCATATCAAAGACCTAGTCAACCAACATACCAAGGGGCATATCGAGAACAAAGCCGACCCTCCGATGGTCAAATTGCTAAACTTGAAGATTAGGTAGGGCAATTTGTCACACATTTCAACAAGAAGTTTGAAGCTATTGACAAGTTCATAGAAGATACCTCAACCAAATTCTCGAGTTTGGAAGCAGGTCAAAGAATTCAATAATCAACCAATTTTTATGAACTACTACCATATGCATTTCATATCTAATTAATTTTACAACAAACAATGCTTTTAGGACTTTCATAGTCACACGTTAATCATTCCATTTATATTTCATGAAATATCCACCACAAAGAGAAATATAATACATACACCGTGGATCATAATATTTTTTATTCACATCGTATCATCATAAAACATATATTACTACTTATGTTATAGTCACTATAGGAAAATTAAATAACCTAACATGAAACTCAACAAATATTAACAAAATTGAAAATGTCGAAGTAAAACTTTACCGGCCAATCGGTCGGGCGCTATGCTAGTTGTGTTATTGTGTTATGGCCCATTGTTCCAATTTGCATTTAAAGGTATGCAATAACGATTTTTTCTATAAAAAAATTTATGCAACATTTATGTAAACTAGTTTAGAATGAGTTCAAATCGAATCAAATTAATATAGCACTAAATTGAAAACGGAGGAACAAAAAGAGAATGATCATCATTTGATTTCTAATCACCAATCCATATTTTCTTCCACTCAATCTCATTATTTCTTCATACTATTTCAAGAACAATTGAGTCAGCTCAAAGTCGGTTGACGCAGAAACCGAGAGAAATTGAATCCGCATGAAACATGAATGAGATTAAACAGCAATCCCGATTTGGTCGAATCTAAATGTTTGTCAGTTTTCTCAAATTTTAAAATCAACCATACTTCTAACACCACGACAACAACATTCACTTAGTTACAAACAACATCCGAGTTTCTTGTTACGAATTTTCCTCTCTAACCAATTACCGAATGTGATGAATGTCTTCATCTTTAATAACAAAATTTATCAACCATCATGATGTTTTTTCATCCTCACCCACCCACTTTTCACTTACTTTTAATCCTTCGATCGAGTGAACCAACACAAGTAAGACTATTCAATCAAATGAGGTGAATTTCTTTTGGATTGGTGTGAAAGATTTCGATTGATGGGATGAAAAAAAAATTGGGTGGCAAATGGTGAGAAGGATGTTAGAGCAAATGTGGATAGAAGATAGATAAATTAGAATTGGATAGATAATACTATGCCTATGTGACCTTCTTCGGACAACACTTTGGCCGCATATATATTTCTTTGCCTTTTGCATTATTTGCCCCTTATTTTATGTGTCTTTGTCTTGTAATACGGTATGGGTGAAAATGGTTTGTACGTGAACATCAAGCTTTCATCTTTTCTATGTTTGGTAAATGGTGAAACTTCAAAAACCTAGACGTAAAAATCAAATGAAAGTTTTACACTATACAACTATACAAGCCAAGTTAGTTATCCTTCCATGATATAAGTAACCAAGAACTCAAAGATCGATGATTCATTTGAATGGTACATCTTAACCGTCACTTATCTTGTCATATAGATATCATTATCATTGGATAGTAACACAAATATGGACATAAGGTTCGATATAACAAAAATGATAATGATAAACAAATGATCAAATACTCCATATAGGAGATTTGAGGTGTAATGTTTTACATGCCACCAAATAGGAGAGCCTTCTTACTTCTTAATTAGCTAGCTAGCTATGGAACATATTCGAACTGAATAAACTGCAAGAGTATCCGTGAGTTGAGCAAGATTACAATGAGAATGTTGCTCTCGCATCGTATGTTAGCCTCATGTCCGATGGGCTACGATAAAGAACATATGCATATGATTCCCATTTTATAACCTAAAATTAAATACCGGAGGAACCTACAACCCACCAATCTTCTTTTGCTTTGCATTAGGTAGTCAATATAAATATGATAAAATGTAAACTCTCAATTGCATAAGCAATTGGCCTTTTGCTAATTTTCTAATTTGAGAATATGGCAAAAGATTTATATATATATTTTGATTGATTACGACATATGAGAGTTCAACATGATTTTAATCCCTTCTTTCTTCATGCCATCCCAAGTTCCAACTCAATTCTCATGTGAAAAAAATATAATAAACAAATTATTGTTATACTATTTGGATTAGCTTTCCCACAAGCTAGCTAAGAATGAAAAGGCTCCAATCTATAATTGTTATAGCTATATAAAGGGGTGGTAGTAGTGGGGAAGCTATCATCATCAATATATATATATATGGGGAGTTCTACGGTACCCGGGTGAAATTCGGGGTACCACATACCTTAAGTAAGAAAACGCTATTTAGAAATTGAATTGACTGATTTTTCGGACATTATACTATACTCTAACCCATAAAGATCAACATCTAGGTCTTAATTCTCTAAATCTTATACCCCAAGAACAATTTAATTAGAAACAATAATCAACGGTTATGATTCGTCCAAATATAGGCAAAAAAAGTAATACACCATCTTAGGGTTTTTAGTTTATGATTTAGATGATTAGGACCTAGGGTTCACTCATTAAGAGTTAGGGTATAGTATCATGCCCAAAAATCCTGATAATTCGAGGTCTAGATAGCGTTTTCATACTCAAGGTATGCGATACCCCGGATTTCACCCGGGGTACCATAGAAGGCACCATATATATAAACTAACTTAATTATATATATACAGATTATTTTTTATTAAATAAAATGATAAATTTTAGACCCTCCATTAGAAAAGCCAATGTTTGATGCCATTTGGTTGGCTTAGGCAACTCCACGTCCAAAAGGGGGGAAGACCACCTTATTTCAAGGCGATTTCAACATGTTGTCATTCATGTTCGTATTTATATATCTTGATAATCGAGTTGTAAAGCTTGACATTTTTTATCGTATCATGATCTATTGATAATTATTATGCTTGATTCAATTACTTACATAGTGACCGAACTAGTAGGTACTTCATTTGCGAAGAATTCTCGACATGAAAACATAAAGATCGAGTTGAATGCTTCTATTACGAATTTAATTTATTTCCACATGGTTTCCTACTTTTTCTAATGATGTTGGACTTGAATTGTCAAAAGTCAAAACCAACCAGTTTAGTAAAAAAATATTGATCAATAAATGTCGTTATGTGATTATTGCTCAGATTAGCGAATTGCGTAACGGACCAACTAGTAGGTATTGAAGATCAATCTGAATTCTCCTCTTCCTAATCCTCAACTTACTATAAAAACACTTTGAGGTTGTTTGCTTGTTGGATTTGAAAAATGAGGGTTTTGGCCAACAAAAATCTTGGGATTTATGTTGTATTTATTGGATTATGGATTTGAAGAGTCTAATGTTTGCATGATAGATTTGATGATGGATTTGTGATGGATTTGTTAAATAAATAACTAACCAGCAAGGATTTGCAAATCTCAAATCAATATGTGGGATTTACAAGTCCGCGGGCTCCACGAATTTGGTTCTAAAATAAAAACTAAATCCGTGGACCCCACGAATTTAGCACCCTTCAACAAACAATGAACTTATGTTAAATCCATCAAACTTGGGATTTGGATACCAAATCCATGACCCAAATCCAACAAGCAAACGAACTCATATTCTTTGTCTAGGGTACGATATTTAGTAAATTAATGATGCAAAGGAAACACATGCATGATTGGGGTCACATGAATCATGATAATTATTATCCATAATTTTGCCTTTTTTTCTGTCTGGAGTCCCACTATCCCCTCTTTTTTTCTCCCAAACAATTTTATAATTATTCCTTCCTCTTTTATTTTGAATTTGAGTTTTTTACCAGTATCAACTAATGATGAACACATGCAAATTGATTTTTTACAAGATAATCATGTATATTGATTGGATCAAAAGATATTACATTCTGGATGCCAGATAGGCCTGGAAATCATAATAACGACTAGTAGCCAGAAACAAAACAAGAGCCTTTCTAGTCACCAAATGGGCTACCCTATTGTTACTCCGACCTACAAAACGAACTTAAAGAGCACTATGATTTGCAAACACCCCAACGATCTCTTCCAGCACCGCCCCGATCTGAACATCATACACATCCCTCCTGACCACCCATGCAAATTGATTTGGTTAAGTTTTAGTTTGTTTTCCAAATAAAATATCAATGAATTTTGTAGCAAGTTCTTAATTGGCATATTGATTCACTCTCTAATATTGAGTCCTTGAAAAATCAAATAATTTCAATTTGAGAATAAAATTTATCAACAAATTATTCTAATGATGTTAATGAGACATAAGGAGATCTAATTCCAATAAGCTAATTATATAAAAAAAACATTAATTTTAAAGTCAAATCTCATAGCAAACCAAAATAACTTAAAATTGTGATTAAACTCAGACTCGAGTATAATAATCTTAAGGAAACAAGAAAAACAACAGAAGACAAAGTGGAGAGAATAAATTGTGGGAAAAAGTCAAAAAATTTTGCCTCTTTAGGCCGTGATTTCTGATTTCTCAACGAAGACAACAAAGAACAGCATAATGTTAGCTGTCAACAAAACGAGCGTCGTGATTAAATCATGCTTTGCGAGTGCATCTACTTTGCTATAGACTCGCTAACAGGTGATCAAGACAGTAGCTGCAGCCTGCAGGAGACGTTTTCACTTTTTGCGGGAAAATTTCCCAGCTTTCCCTTCCGTCGAAGTTGAACACTGAACAGTAAACCACTTTCTCTAAACCCTAATTTTTAGAGAAACGAATACGATGCCAAGTCCATCTCTTTCTCTGAATTAACCCTTTCGCCAAGCAAGTTCCATTATTCCCCCTCTTTTGCGGTTTGCTAGATGTTTGCTGTTTCGAAAATGAAGGCTCTGTTTCCCCTTCAAATTTCCCATCCCATTGCACCGGCGTTGCCTCACGCTGTCGCCTTCCTCTCCGCAGCTCCCAAGTCGGCCCTTTTTTCGATTTATCCCGCAGTTACTCAGTTCCCTGCTTCTTCATCTCTCAGACCCATCATGGGTTCATCTGGGTCGATGTTTTCTCGTGTTCAAAATGGGAACTTTCGGCCAGCGGAGGCTGCGGGTGATTCGACGACGTCCTACCCCTCCGGCGAAATCCACGTCATTGTGGGTCCGATGTTCGCCGGCAAGACCACCAGTCTCCTCCGACGAGTTCAGGCCGAAAGCGAGAATGGCAGGTCTGATCTCCTGCTCCATTTCACCTTCGACTACTTTTGTTTTCCTGTTCGTTTTCCATTGTTCTGTTTTTTTATTGTTATATTTGGTGCATCTTGAAGAGGCTACGCGGTTCGATTGAAATGAATTAGCTTCCGAGCAATTTGTGTTATTTCCGACTTTTTGGAACCCAATTATAAATAGTGGAAGTTACCAGCTTTCAGGATAGAAATTTGCTCCAGTTGGATAGAACTTTTCAGGATCTTTGTTTCTCGGGGAGATTGAATGAAGCTGTGAGCCTCTTGTGGCGTACTGAATCACCAGTGGACGATAGAACCTATTCGCTCATGTTGAAAGAATGCATTCTCACAAGGCGGTATAAAACCGGGAGAAGAATCCATTCACAGATGATTGTTGTTGGCCATCTTCCCACTGAATATCTCAAGACCAAGCTATTGATCCTCTATGCAAAATGTGGAGACCTAAGAACTGCACTTGTGATTTTCAACAAGCTAATCGACAAAACTCTAATCTCCTGGAATGCCATGATCTCAGGCTATGTGCAGAATGGCCTTGAACAAGTGGGGCTCAGTCTTTATGCCAAAATGAGACGAAACGGCTTGATGCCTGACCCATACACGTTTTCTTCCCTGTTTAGAGCCTGTGGTACTCTAGCTTTGTTGGAGCTCGGGAAGCAAACTCACAGCATCATGATCAAGTGCAATGTTAAAGATAATGTGGTTGTCAATAGTGCCCTTATCGATATGTACTTTAAGTGCAGCGACCTAGTTGATGGTCAGAAGGTGTTCAACGAAATGCCAAATATGAATGTGGTGACCTGGACTTCTCTGATCTCAGGGTATGGTCAGCATGGAAGAGTTGAAGAAGTTTTGGAATTGTTTAGTAGGATGAAGGAAGAAGGGTTCCGGCCAGATCATGTCACTTTCCTTGCTGTGTTATCTGCTTGTGGTCATGGAGGATTGATCGATCAAGGTTGGGATTACTTCTCATCTATGAAGGATTATGGGATTGAGCCTAGATGGAAGCACTATGCTGCCATGGTTGATCTCCTGGGTCGAGCAGGAAAACTCCAAGAAGCTTATGATTTTGTTCTGAGCTCTCCACTTAAGGACCATTCAGACATATGGGGTGCTTTGCTTGGTGCTTGTAGGATTCATGGAGATACGGATTTGGCATCGATTGCTGCTAGAAAGTTCTTAGAGTTAGAACCGGGAAATGCAGGTAAATATGTGGTATTATCGAATGCATATGCGACTCGTGGGTTCTGGGACCGTGTTAAAGATATCAGGGGGGTGATGAGAGAGCTTGATATTATGAAAGAGCCTGCTTATAGCTGGATTGAGATTCAAGGGGTGGTTCATGTGTTCTCTACACGCGATAAGTCTCATAGAAAGTCAGAGGAGATACAGAGTCTCATTCTCGAGATGACGAGCATATTAAAGGATGATGTCTGTGATTTGGAGATCGATGAGCATTAGAACATGATGACGTTGGAAGTGGAGTTATCCCTAAAATATCTGAGTTGAGTTATCCCTAAAATATCTTAGTAATGGGGAATCGAGATGCTTGATTTACATTGTTATATGAATTAATTGTTCTCTTGTCTATGTTTTGCAGAAGTGTTGCTGTTGTAAAATCGGACAAGGATACAAGATATGGATTGGACTCAATTGTAACACACGACGGTCTGAAATTTCCCTGCTGGTCATTGCCCGAATTGTCGATGTTCAGACATAGTCTTGGTGTTGATGCTTACAACCAGGTTCGAGAATTTGGACGTCGGATACCATTTTCAGCAGAAACCATGTGGATAGATCTCAATTTTATCATTCTAAACTCAACGTATTTGTGACAGCTCGATGTAATTGGGATTGATGAAGCTCAATTCTTTGGAGACTTATATGATTTCTGCCGCGAGGCTGCTGATCAGGATGGTAAAACTGTAATAATAGCTGGCTTAGATGGTGATTACATGAGGTAACCACTTAAAAGCTTACTCTTTCAATAAATTGTGCCTCTGGTTTCATATACGATGCCCCATTGTTAACACAGGAGTAGTTTCGGTGCTGTTCTCGACATAATCCCACTTGCTGATTCCGTGACCAAGCTGACAGCTCGCTTTCCTTGTCAATTGAGGCTTTCTTTCAATTGCAAACTAATGTCCAGATGGGCAAATCGAAAGCTTGTTTCCTGTCCAACCATTCAGCTGAAAGTCTTTCCTAGAATCCCATCTATAATCCTTACCCCGCCAACCTCCCATCGTTATTTCTCTGATTCTCAGTTGGAGCTCAAGGGTTCAAATGAGGAAAATGAATGGGAAAGATTGCTTAAACCATTTGACCTCAAAGAGCTTCGAAGGACACTCAGTCATAGAATCACCCCTTTTCAGCTCTGCAAGCTGCTTCATTTGCCTCTCGATGTCTCCATTTCCATGGAGCTTTTCAACCGGGTGGGCGCTCAGAAGGGCTACATGCACACATTCGATGTATACTATGCTTTAATCGATAAGCTTGGTGGTTCGAATGACTTCAAATCTATAGACAAGTTGTTGGTCCAGATGAAGGAGGAAGGGATTGTCTTCAGGGAGTCTTTGTTCATCATGATCATGAAGCATTATGGCAGAGCTGGTTTCCCTGGGCAAGCCACTAGATTATTGTTAGATATGAAGAATGTCTATTGCTGTCACGTCACATTCAAGTCTTACAACGTAGTCCTCGAGATACTCGTCGCTGGTAATTGTCCTGTTGTCGCATCGAATGTTTTTTATGACATGTTGAGTAGAGGCATCTCGCCGAATGTTTACACATTTGGAGTGGTGATGAAAGGTCTCTGTATGGTCAATGAAGTGGACAATGCTTGTTCTCTACTTAGAGACATGACCAAGCATGGATGTGTGCCAAACTCTATTGTTTACCAGACATTGATACATGCTCTATCGAAGAGGGATCGAGTTGATGAGGCTCTGAAGCTCTTGGAAGAGATGTTCCTCATGGGCTGTAGACCTGATTTGGATACGTTTAATGATGTTGTTTATGGGTTATGTAGGGTCAAGAGGATCCACGAGGGTGCTAAGTTGATTGATCGGATGGTTCTGCGTGGGTTTATCCCGAATGGAGTGACGTATGGATACCTAATGGATGGTTTGTGTAGATCGGGAAAAGTAGATGAGGCATTTTCCTTACTGAACGAAGTACCGAGCCCTAGTGTTGTCCACTTCAATATCGTTATCAATGGGTATGTGAAGAGTGGTAGACTCGATGAAGCTAAGGAAATTCTCTGCGGAAGGATGATAAACAGTGGGTTTATCCCCGACCTCTTTACATTCAACATACTTATATGCGGGCTTTGCAGGAAGGGGTTGTTTGGTTCCGCTCTCGAGATTGTTGATGAAATGGGTAGGAAAGGTGTTGAACCGAATGTGAACACGTTCACGGCTTTGATTGATGGTTTCTGTAAGAAAGGTAGGATTGAGGAAGCTAGCCAAATCTATGAAGAGATGTCTGCCAAGGGACTTGGTCTGAATACACTGGGATACAACACTATCCTCCATGCTTTGTGCAAATGTGGGAATATGTCTGAAGTTATGCAAATTTTTGGTGAAATGTCGAGCAAAGGATGCAAGCCTGACATATTTACATTCAACACTCTAATCTTTGGTCTTTGCAAGGCCAATATTATGGAGGATGCCATGAGACTCTTTCATGATATGGTGTTAGAAGGTGTGATTGCAGATAGTGTTACTTACAATACTCTAATTCACGCTTTCCTTAGGCGAAATGATATCCAGGAAGCGATCAAGCTTATGAACGACATGGTTTTTCGAGGGTGCGCTTTGAGTGAGACAACTTACAATGGTTTAATACGTGCACTATGTACAGCTGGGGCGGTGGAGAAAGGGTTAGGCTTGTTTGATGAAATGATCAGGAAGGGTTTGGTTCCCAGTAATATTTCAGTTAACATAGTGATCAATGGCCTGTGCAGAGCTGGTCAGATGAACAATGCGATGGAGCTTTTGCGAGACATGATTCATCGAGGTATTGAACCTGACATCGTCACCTTTAACAGCCTGATTAACGGTTTCTGCAAGATGGGACGTGTTGACGAGGCATTGAATATTTTCCACAAACTGGTGGTTGAAGGCATACAACCCGATGCTGTGACTTATAACACTTTGGTTTGCTGGCACTGCCGAAAAGGAATGGTCGATGATGCTTATTCACTTCTGGATAGAGGTGTCAAGAATAAGTTTATACCAAATCAAGTGACATGGAACATCTTAGTCCATAATATTGTTAAGGATGGTAAGTGAGGTTCCCTTGCAAAAGGACCATTTTGTGATGACATTTGTTTTTCTTTCTATTAAGTGTCAGTGAATCCTTCCTGGAAATGGCATGCCACTTGCTTTTCCTGTTCTTCCATCGTCTTTTTTGAGTTTGTTTCATGGTGGAAATGATTAATATAAGGATGCTTGTGAATCGATTAATAATCTTCAAGTTCTCGCCGACGCTAAGGATCGGGGATCTCAACGATTTCATAGCTCCGTCTCAAGCTTGCGTGGTCTCTCTGAAGGGGCTCAAGGCTAATAGTAATGTTACAAAGAAGCCTGCTAGGCCCGAGGTAACTTCTAGTTCTTTCGTTTCCCAAAACTGACTTTTGGGCGTGTGGTTTTCATAAACTTTGAGGCGAAGTTATAAAGCTTTCTGATGTTTTTTGGGGTTTGCTTCGGTTAAATTTGGTGAAGGTGGCGGTTGCGATCAATCGGCAGACGGAGCCGGTGAAGATTTCTCTGAAGGACTGTTTGGCATGCAGGTGAATTGTCCTTTCTGTTTCCATCTTAGCTTGCCCCATACCAAAATTCTTATCTTTGTTTCTGTTTTTGTAATTTCTGGCTACCCAGTTGCCAAAGTCGGTTTCTTTGTACTTAAATTTCGGTTTTGTGTTTGGTTGCCATGATTTGTCTAAGCTTGAATGAGCTTCTTCAACGTATGGGTTTGTTACGTGGTTGTTTTTTTGCAGTGGATGCATTACATCAACGGAGACAGTAATGCTGGAGAAGCAGAGTTTGGATGAATTCCTATCTAATATCGATAAAGGCAAAGCTATCATTGTTTCCCTCTCACCAGTCCAGAGCTTCTCTTGCTGCTCATTTCGGCCTCTCTCCACCTCAGGTTTTTCAGTGGTTCTTATTTATGTTCCAAGGGTACACAATGCAAGTGTTTTGGTCAGCATGTCTGATGTAGTCATCTTCTTTTTCTTTCTGTGTATATCATTAGGTGTTCAGGAAACTCACGACATTTTTTAAGTCCTTGGGAGTTAAGGCTGTATATGATACAAGTTGCAGCAGAGACTTAGCACTGATCGAGGCTTGCAATGAATTTGTCAGTCGATATAAAGAAAGCATCTCGAATGAAGCTGAAAAATCCAAAGTATCATTGCCTATGCTTTCATCGGCATGTCCAGGTTAATTTTCTTAGCCTATGCATTTTGCTTCCCTGTTAGTTTGCTTATGTTCCTCTCATTCAGGGCTTGCTTAGAGATAAAGTGAAAAAAGATGTAGGCTTAGATTCTGTTATTGGTATGGGTGATACACAAGGCAGGAGGCCTTGCTTAGAGAAACTCAAGAATGGAAACACAATATCTGAAATGTCTCCCTCCTATTACAGGTTGGATTTGCTATGCCGAGAAGCAACTAGGATCTTATATTCTCCCTTATGTATCTTCTGTCAAGAGTCCCCAACAAACGATGGGGGCGATCATTAAGCGTCATGCATGCTGTAGGATGGGTCTTAGGTGATTATTCTATCTCTCTTCCCCCTTTTATGTAGTTTGAGGTAAAGGTTGTATTGATCTGATTGGTGTAAACTTGTTTATAGACCGGATGATGTTTACCATGTCACCATAATGCCCTTTTATGATAAGAAGCTCGAGGCATCAAGGGATGACTTCACTTTCGAACTTGAATCGCCGGAACAAACCAATGACAACAGAGCAATTGTTACAGAGGTAGACTCGGTTTTGACATCTGGTGAAATTCTGGATCTGATAAAGGTGAGAGGTTTTAGAATGCAGTGGTTTTTATGATCTTCTTTCCTTTTGTTCTTTTGACGCTGTGAGTTCTGTAGTTGTCATCTTTTGTTCATTTATTTGCAGTTGAAAGCGGTGGATTTCAAAGCCCTAGAAGAATCTCCTCTTGATAGAATGTAAGAGAGACCACAATGATTTCTGATAAAGCACTTGCTCACTTCCCGAAATCAGATCCCTTCGATGGACAACGAAAAATAGTCATCTGCACCTCCTGCTCGGGATCTCTTCCTTCCGTGCTATATATTTATAGGCACTGGAATCTTTGGCATGAGAGAGCCATGGCTGGTTTTGCCATGGACAATTTATTCTAAGGATGAGAAGCCATTTAAAGGCCAATTTTGATGAGGTAAACTTACACTTGTTCACTGGGCCGTCGTGCACTGCTTGTGTACATTATCTATGGTAGAAGAAGATGATTTAAGAGGAAGAACACAGAATGTGAAGTCTTTAGGAAGAAGGCATTTTATACTTTGTAATCTGCTCCCCTAACACTTTTTGCCCTCTGTCGGTGTTCCCTTTGAGATTGGTGTACATGCCTTTTTGTTTAGGTAACTCTGTTCCTGTTTCTGGGTGTTGGATATCATCCAACAGGCAGTTTTGTCAAGTTATACTCCAAAGAGAGCAATAGTATTGTCCTGATGTGTATCTAAATTATAACCAAGTATGTGAAGGAATACCACAAGTTTTTGAGTCCTTACAGGATGTATAATGTATTGTAAGATCTGCTCTGAGGGTTTCTGTTTATCTCTTCTGTAATTGTAGCTTACCCATGGTAAAATGGAAGAAAAAGGTAACATTTTCAGTATCTTCTCTTAAGGTAAAAAAAAAGTACCGCGTAATAAATTGGAACTCATCTACCAAAAATGGATTAGGAAAAGGGAATTCCTTCAAAAACAGGAAATTTAATTTAATAAATTGATTTCTTACTACGTTTGTTGCTGTGATGGATTGCATGCACGTCCCTTTGTCAGAAAAAAATTGACATTTTCTGTGTTTCTTAGGAAACTGAAACTGATAAAGTTTTGAATATCCATTTATTGCAACAAAATCCCTCGACAAAAGCGGATAGAAAGTCGCAAACGTTTCATTCAGAACAATAGCCCATCAGAAACCCACTTCTGCCTCTCATCAGCTCCTTCCCAGTCCCAGAGAAGCACCAGAATCTGAGACGAAATGGTAAGAAGGAGAGGACTTTGTTGTTTGTTTTGATATTCTGGATTCTGGGCTTTGCATGGCTTCATTTTTAACGATTTGGGTGTGGGATCTGTGCGTTGAATCATCAGACGACGTCAAGGAGGGTTTCAGAGAGGAAGAACGAAAGGTTCCAGAGGAACATAATGAAGAGGGGATCAGTCTCTGGGTCTTCATGGAAGAAAGGGTTTGACCTCCCTGTTGGCCCGATTGTGCTTGGATTCATCGTCTTTGTTGTTGTTGGATCATGTATGTGTTTCTCTCTCCCTCTCCCTCTGCAATGGTTTTCTTCTTAATTGTCAGAAGCAGACGATCCCCCCTCTCTCGCTGCATGCTGTGTTTTGTGTTTCTTCTACGTTGATTGGGATTGTTTGGGTTTTGCATGGCCAAGGTTCCTCAAGGTACTGAACTGAACAGAATTGGCGTAGGACTGGGCATAAAAGAGAACGGAAAAGAAAGGATAAAAATAAGAACAAAAATTCTATACATAAAGGTATTAAATTTCAGCATATAAACAGAAATTTGCTTTTGTACATTGATATGGTATGATCCGGTTCATATGTTGATTCGATTTGGTTCATTTTAGTCTAATTCGAAATGTTGAGCTAGACTCCAGCTAGGGTCTTAGGTGGGCAACTCCTGCTAGGTGAACTAAATTACTTATTTACTTGTAGCCCCATATAACCATCAAGAGTCTTCAATGGTTTATGCTCTTTCATTAACTGAGTGGATTTCAGCTTCCGAGTTTATGGTAATGGTTCATCAGACAGACATTCTGGCCCTGACTTGGCTTCATATCTTTGTTCATTTTCACAGCTCTGTTTCAGATCATCAGGACAGCGACTTCAGGTGGAATGACGTAAACGAGCTCTTCGAGGATAAGTAGATCAAAGCGTGGGTTGTCAAGGGGCAGATCCTTTAGCCTGTTTAATGAGATGATACAGTGAAATGAAACAATCCAAACAAACTCAAAACCTCATTTGTGCTTAAGTTCAACCAGTTCCTTTACTCTGTTGTTTTTTCTTTCCCAGTGTTCTATGCTCTTTCTATGAATCCATTTCTCAAATCAGGTCCGTGTGCTGGCGTCAGGACATTATCCTGTACTGAAAAGCATAAATCTTTGCATGTACTTTGCTATCTTCACCCTCAAAACAGAAGAACGAGGCAATAGTTGAAATTGCTTCATTTATGTGGACAAAGATGAAATCTTTTCAGAATCCATGTACTACAACAGCAACAGCTAGTAGATACTGTAATGGACTCCCAGTTCTAAGCAACCAAGGGTATTGAGAAAAAAGAACAAAAAGCAAAATTGGTAACAGGCAAACAAAGATGATCAGAAAGCTCTTTGGTACTGTTCTTGCTTCCCATATTTGGATTTGCTTTCGTCTGATCTTCTAGCAGCTCTGGCAGCTGCTGCTGCTGCTACATTGGGGCTCTTGTACCGGTCAGAGCTTCTAGACAGCTTCCTGAAATTGGAACTGAAAGTCGGCTCATCCGAGACCTGCATTGTGGTCTCCGGCAAGTGTTCTTCTTACGAAGAAGAGCAATCATACCCCATCTTGATAGGGCAAAAGCGTAATGCCAATTCCTATCTTGTAGTAAAGCCGGAAATTCGAGTATCGTCTCTCAGGGACTGGTACAACCTTATAATTTATCAATTGTGTGGAGCAAACTATAGGTGAAAAATGGTTTGGTTGATAACATTATTAACTAATAGCAAAATAACTAAACTAATTAAGCAAAGTAAGCTTGTCGGAAGAAATTCAATGGGAGAAAGCTCTGGGAGAAACACCGGGACTCACTACCTATCATATTAAAATTAATTCACATATTCTAATCAGTTTAATCCAATTCTCTACAGCCAGGATATCTCTATTGTGCTAGCTATCCCTGTCGGGAATTACTACGTACTAAACAATTAAATCAAATCCTACTGTCGTAGCTCAATGACTTAATTATTTAGCCTGAAGATCGATATCCTATTTAAGACCGCATAACAACTTATTTAATCCACTGTCGCTTCGATAAGTTACTATGTCACATGAAATAAGTTCAGTCATTAGGGTTTCACTGTCGCTAATAACCTAATTAACAATAAATCAATGTATTGGTGGCCAGTCAACACAAAGCATTAAGTAATTTCATGCAATAGAGATTGGAAGAAAAGAATTATGAATCAATCCATCAAATATAGAAATAGCTACATCCTATGGTGTTTCCCCCAGAAATCGGGGTTTAGTTCATGACGAAACTGAGATAAAACAATAGGGTTTTGTTCATCATGTTCTAAATCAACAATAAACAAATAATCCGGACTAGAAAATCCAACCAAATAACTTGTTTTTGTTGAAAACTCACGTCGCCTTGGGAGAAATCACTCGCCGAGCAGCTATCGCCAAATCGCGTTGCTCTCGTCCCCAAGCCTTCCGCTCGCCCTGTTGCCTTCTTCTCTTTCCAAAAGAATTCCGTCGCCAAAAGAAAAATCTTACGCAGAATTTTTGTTCCGTCCAAATTAATAGCCACCCCAAGATTTCCCTCGGCCCATTAATTTCCCCTCCTTTCTTTCGTTGCGCCCTCTCCAAAAGAGAATCACCCGGGCCGCCAATTAGTCTAGCTAGCTGGGCTTTAACTCCATCAATTGGGCTTTAGCCCAATGATTTGTTGTAGAAGAAATATGGATCCAATTCCTCCCGCCATCTCTTGCTTCGGAAGTTCCAGTGCTGCCATTTCATCTATCTTTTCACCTAACACACACACCAAAACTCCAACACAAAAATGGTAATGGCTTTTCAACCATTATGGATTAATTCTCCCTAAAATATCACCAATCGGCTTAAACATACAATGAGATAGTCACATAAAGCTCAAGAATCCGATATATTAAAGCCGATTATCACAACCCCACACTCAATTGTTGCTTGTCCCTAAGCAACGACTCAAAAGACACAAACACATAACCAACCATAACAATGACACACCATAGACTCACTAATCAAACACTCTAACAAAACAAAATTTTCCTTGTACTCTTGTTGTAATCAGTAGTTTCTTTCTCAAAGGATAAGTTGTGCTTTAATGATCATACCTTTCACCCCACACTCAAGGTCTTTGCAACCCTTAACCATTGACTGACTCAAATCCATTAAAAACACAAATAGCAACACTCAATTCCGATCGTCGGTAGTGGGTGGTTAACAACTTATGGTGCAACAATTATTAGGAGAATTTAACCACATCAGTGAGGTGCATATCTCGTGAGGACAATCCGGCTTACTCACACTAATCACAAGCAATTAACAAAGCATGAGTCTCAAAAACAAATGGGGGAATTTTTTGGCAAACTTGGTTTTATCTTTAAGCACATCACTACCTTTCTGACAAGGAGAGGCTTTCTCTCTTTCTGATTTTGCTTGCCGAGTGGTCGTATTTAGTACAAGTGGGATTTGTTTCTTACTACCGGTGACCGAGCAAGAGCAATTTCTGCTACTTAGCACTCGCATAAGGTCTTCTTTTAACTCCTTTTCATCGGTCCGTGTGGAGGGTCATTGTACATCCTCTAATGGCATTTCACTCAACTGGGGATCGTACTTGATAAGCAACATCGTACGGTCGCGAACCGATTCTCAATTGAATCTTTCCTAATCCCCATGTGCAATGAGTGATTGCCTCACACGATTTTGGCATTTTTATCCACACTTAAATTGTTATGGCAACTTTCATATATTTTACTTGTCAGGTAGGATTTTCTTTTATAAAGATCAGTTCACCCCATTACAAAACATTCAAAACAGAGAGACTCATTGCAAAGTCAGCAACTCAAAATATATGCAAGTAAGCACGGTATCCAAACATGTCGAATGGTCAATGTTCTCCACCTAACTACTTCACCAAAAGTCATTACACTATCCTCACAAAAGAGAATGTTGCTAAAAGAGTTTGTTCATTCAAAGCATATCAAGTCAGTCAAAACATTCAAACTCATTGTGAAGAACTATGCAATTCAACACTAGTGGGGTGATTTTGATGATTTCATTCAAGCACAAACTCATTTTCAAGGAATCACGGTCATTTTCATCATGTTACCACAAGAGTACAAGGTTTTTAATTTTTCTGATTTTTAGGTGTTTTTTAGCCATTAGCTTTGCACAGGCAAACTGCACCAACACAGGCAAACTGCATGCAGTTTGGCTGTGCTCAACCTAATGGCAATTTTTTTCGATATACACATGACAAGACACTGTGGACAACTAAGACTTAACACCTAAACATAAAACACGACAAGAACACAGACCATCCACCCCACACTCAGGATGGACATTGTCCACAATGTCTACTACTGCACACGACACACCAACAGGTTCACCTAGGTAACATTATTACAGACCATCATCCACTACGAGAAGTATTCACAAAGTAAAGAAGAAAAGAAAAGAAAAAAAGAACCTCTAGACAAGCTCATATGAAGGAGGGGTCAATGAAGAAGTGCTGAACTTCTCATCTAGACGCTGGCTGAGCTCCTTGATCTTCTTATCTTTCTCTGTGTCTCTGGCTTCCAAGATAGCTATTATGGCTCTGAGATCGTCTCCAGATGATGGTGAAGCTGGTACAACTGGTGGGGTAACTTCTGGATGCGGAATTGGAGGTGAATGTGACTGATGGCTCTGGCTGACACTCGTGGCAGAGTGCCATGCTGCTGCTGGTGCTGGGGATGATGAACAAACACCCAAAGGTGTGGGTGTAGGAGCTGGAGCTGTTGTCGGAGTTGCTACCAATGGTGCTGGAGATGATGCTGAAGCAAAAGTTGATCTAGCAGCCTTTGCTGCCCTTTTCTGATTGTTCTCAATCTCCCACTCTTTATATTTGGCGATGGATAGATATTCACCACGACATCCTGCTCTCCTCAGAAAACCCAACTTGCCTAACGTTGTTTCCCCAAGCAGAGTCGATCCCTCACTTATCTCCAAACCCATAGGGTTCTCTGGTAACCCCCAGTAAGCTCGAGCTAAGGCTGTAATGATTCCCCCACACATAATACCTCCACATGTTTTAGCTGCTTCATTCTCAAACATCTTACCAACCATGTACCCAACACACAATGGTGCTCCAGTGACGAAACTGTGAATGTACCTGAGATCGATGATGTAAACACCACTGGCATTGGATCCCTTTCCCAAGACAGTGCGAGCCAAGTAGTCGTGTTGCCACAATTGTCTTCCAAAAAGCTCCCAAATCCTGTGCTTCATCAGGAATTGCATCTGCTGCACCATCGAAGTAAAGTGCTCGGTTCACTTGGCTCAAAGTGAGGGACTTGGTTTGCCCGGCCAAAGTACTCTGAAGCTTGCTCTCAACCCCACTATCCTCAAAGCTGTAGGTGGCCAAGAATGCTCTGGTGAGGTGTGGATAGGTGGGGAAGTGCCGCTCCGGAAATCTTGCCCAATTCATCCTGCGGAAATACGCCATCACCTCTTCAGCCCGCTTGGTCTTCTGCAATGCTTCATAGTCCATGAACTGAGAAGGGATGACCTCTCGTTTCATCAGATCTGCATAATCCTCTTTATGTTGCTGGAGTTGGAGAGGTCGACCGAACGTCTTAGAGACGTCTTTTGGAAGAGAAGAATCAGCCTTCTTCTTGCTTGCAACTGGGGTAGTACGACGTGGTGTCGTGGGTGGTGCAGGTGTTGAAGAAGAAATCTTCCTCTGTGGTCGTGAAGATGAGCTGGTTGCTGGAGACGAGTCCTCTTTGCTGGCCTGCTCTCAGGTGATACAAATAGTGTTGAATCTGGGAGTGGAGGTTATTCAGGAGGCATTTGAGCAGGCTGCTGTGTTGGATATGGAGCTGGAGAAGTCATCTCAATAGTCCGGGACCGCATCGTGGGTCCAACCTGGCCAGTGATGACCCTGTGAAATTGTGGGTGAACTTCTGGAATTGGGTTGTCTTTATCGGTCACCTTGTGGCTTTCTTCAATCATCCACGAACGGTAAACAATCTTCCCATCTTCACTTTGATCAGTTACCTTGAACTGCCGAGATGGAGGGATATATCTTCGACGTCCCATACCTGCAAGCAAGAGTGCAAACTGGGAAAACACAAACTTCTGTAGCCTTCACTCTGCTTGAATCACCAAATTTGCACACCTATATTACTCTTCTTCCAAAATTTCACTTCAATAGCACCCAAATCATAAAATCTTCAATTCTGGAACCTCAATTTACCCAATCTCAATCTGCAAATTACAATCAAAACCACCAAGCCTAGCTGCAAATCGAATTCAGCACCTTTTCCCCTTGAAAAATGTCTTCTACTCTTCTTCTAAACAATAATTCCTCTTCAATTTGACCAACCAACCACCAATCAACCAAATTTTACTCCCCATATTCGAAATTGCACAAAATCCCCAATTTGAAGAACCCTAATTTTTTTTCTTCTTGAATCCTCACTGCCTAGGTTCTGTGAATCAAAATTGGGGAGAAGGGGGGAGATCAGAGCTAGTGGAGGGTCGGAGGGGGTGTGCTGGGCCCGGCGACGATTGCCGGAGATGGCGGCGCGAGCTCGAGCTAGAGCTGGGCGACGACGCGAGCTCGTGGGGCTGCTGGGGATGATGACGACGCGCGAAGCTACTGGGATGAAAAACAACCTCGCCACGACGAGCAGAGGCGGAGAGGCTAGGCGGCGGGGCGGCGACGAAGGCCTCTGGTTCGAGCTCGCTGCTGCTTGTCGCATTGCTGGAGATGCACGAGTGGCTGGCCGCGAAAAGATTTGGGAGCTGGGCGGAGGGGCGTGTGCGGCGACGGTGAAGCGACTGCAGAAGCGGGAGTGGCGAGGCGGCGGAGCGGCATCGCCGGCAGGAGGGTCCTCTGGTTCGTTTGTTGCTGGGAAGGCGAAGGGAAGGAGGGGAGGAGCGGGGAGGAAGACAGCCCGACTCCGTATTTTCTTTTCTGCTTTTTTTTTCAATTGCTGTCGTCCTCTTTTATTTTTTATTTTTATTTTTTTTATTGACAGGAGAATCTCTCTTTCAGTCCCCCCCTTCCTTCTCAAAAAGTTCAGATCAGTCCTTCCCCCCATTTTCAGTTTGCTTGTGCGAATATTGCAGCCTCCCTGTGCTTCCGCAGTCTGCCTGTGCATCTACAAAACACCAAATAATACCTTCCTCAAGGCTTTTGGAGCAGAAATTTGGCAGGAAACCTCTAGACACCCTAAAACTAAAAAATTAAAAAAAATTGAAAGAAAAACTCACATTGGGTTGCCTCCCAAGAAGCGCTTGTTTTCCGTCGCTAGCTTGACGTAAAATAGCTCACTCCAGATGATATGTTGAGATTTCCAGGACGGAAACCCCTTCAATATAGTGCTTGAGCCTCTGACCATTCACCTTAAACGTCGCTTGATCACCAAGAATCTCGATTGCACCATGTGAGTACACTTTTGTCACCGTAAATGGTCCGGACCACCTTGACTTCAATTTTCCAGGGAAAAGTTGAAGGCGTGAGTTGAAAAGTAATACCTTCTCTCCCGCCTTGAACTCCCTTCTCGGTATGTGGTGATCGTGCCACTTCTTGGTTTTCTCCTTATAAATCCGGGCATTTTCATAGGCATTAAGCCTAATCTCGTCGAGCTCATTCAGTTGCAACAGGCGCTTCTCTCCAGCAGTTTGTAGATCAAAGTTCAGCTTCTTGATAGCCCAATACGCCTTATGCTTGAACTCGATGGGCAAGTGGCAAGCTTTTCTAAACACCAATCTAAATGGAGACATGCCTAAAGGAGTTTTGAAAGCAGTCCGGTATGCCCAGAGTGCATCATCTAACTTCCTTGCCCAATCTTTCCTTGTTGAATTCACTGTCGTCTCCAGAATGTGTTTCAGTTCTCTGTTGGATTCCACTTGCCCGCTGGTTGCTGGATGTAGGGTGTAGCCACTCGATGCTTAACCCCATATCTGGCCAACAACGTGTTCAACTCCTTTCCCATGAAGTGTGTACCCTCGTCATTGATGAAAACTCGAGGGACTCCGAATCTGGTGAACACGTTCTTCCTCATGAAATTCACCATCGTCTTTGAGTCATTGGTGGACAACGCCACTGCCTCCACCCACTTGGATACATAGTCAACTGCGACTAAGATATATTTGTTGTTGAAGGACGGTGGGAATGGCCCCATGAAATCCACTCCCCATACATCAAACATTTCTACCTCCAAAATCGAGGTCTGTGGCATCTCCATCCTTGCAGATATGTTCCTTGTTCTTTGGCACCTATCACATTGAGCAACAAAATCACGGGCATCTCGAAATTAGGGGTGGCTATACGGTCCGGTCCGGTTAAATTGGACCAAATTGATCTGGTCCCAGTCCGGTCTTTTCGGGAATATAAGGACCAAAGATTGGATTGGATACACTCCGGCCTTGATCCGGTCCGGTCTTGACCCGGTGTGGTCCCAATTTGATTTTGATTTTAGATTGAGCTTGTGGGGATTTGAGTGTTGGGGTCTCTTATCCGGATTTTTTTACCTCAAATCTAAGCCCGAATATGAGATTGGATTGTTTGCTATCCGGTCCCAGTCCGGATTATACGGTCTAGTTTCGGGTAAAACCAAATAGTCCTGGACCAAATTGCCAGCCCTACTCGAAATAGAGAAGGCTAATAAAATCCAGATTGTAACACCTTTGCTGCTGTCCTATGAGGTCCAAAGTGACCTCCTGCGGCCATACTACGACAGAAATATAGCACCGACTTTACCTCACACTCAGCAATACATCGTCTTACCATGGTATCAGCACAATGCTTATACAGGAAAGGGTCTTCCCACATATAATTCTTGGTAATAGTGATCAACTTCTTGCGAGATAGTTCGCAAGGTCTGCATACCAGGGAGCTTGTTGGACAAGGAGAGCATAAAGCTGTTCGTCTGGAAAAGACTCATTGATCTCAACATTGTCCTTAGGGATTGCCTCAAGCTCAAGTCTAGAAAGGTGATCGGCTACCAGATTAGCCGAACCTTTCTTGTCACAAATTTCAACGTCGAATTCCTGCAAAAGAAGAACCCAACGAAGCAATCTCGGCTTGGCCTCCTTCTTTGAAAGAAGGTGCCTTATAGCTGCATGGTCAGTGTACACAACTGTTTTCGATCCCATCAAATAAGATCGAAATTTATCAAAAGAAAAAACCACAACAAACCGTTCTTTTTCAGTAGTGGAATAGTTCAATTGTGCATCATTAAGAAGCTTACTTGCATAGTACACCGCATGCAACTTACCTTCCTTCCTCTGCCCCGACTGCATAGTCGCTAGCATCGCACATAATTTCAAATGGCAAAGTCCAGTCGGGTGCAGTGATAATGGGAGCAGAGGTTAACTCCTTCTTAAGTCGATTGAAGGCCTGCAAACACTCATCAGAGAAGTTAAACGCAGTATCTTTGGCCAACAAATCACATAAAGGCTTGGTGATCTTTGAGAAGTCTTTAATAAATCTCCGGTAAAAACCGGCATGACCTAGAAAACTTCTAATTCCTTTTATTGTGCTGGGAGGGGGAGTTTTTCAATGATTTCAATCTTAGCTTTATCAACTTCTATCCCCCTTGACGAAATTCGATGACCAAGCACTATACCTTCTGTCACCATGAAGTGACATTTTTCCAAGTTCAAGACTAGATTAGTCTCTTCACATCTCTGCAAAACTCTAGACAAGTTAGCCAAGCAATGTTCAAAGCTAGTACCAAAAGTCAAGAAGTCATCCATGAAAACTTCAAGACTTGACTCTAACATGTAAGAGAATATGGCAGTCATGCACCACTGAAAGGTTGCTGGTGCATTACATAATCCAAAAGGCATTCTACGATATGAAAAAACACCAAAAGGACATGTAAAAGCAGTTTTCTCTTGATCCTCCGGTGCTACTGGGATCTGAAAATAACCGGAGTAACCATCTAAGAAGCAGTAGTGAGAATGACCCGCTAACCGTTCGAGCATTTAATCAATAAACGGAAGAGAGAAGTGATCCTTTCGGGTCGCCTCATTCAACTTCCTATAATCTATACATACTCTCCAGCCCGTAACAGTTCGGGTAGATATCATCTCATCCTTATCGTTTCTCACTACCGTCATTCCTCCCCTTTTAGGGACAACATGCACAAGACTAACCCAAGTACTATCAGAGATAGGGTAAATAATACCTGCATCCAATAGCTTTATTACCTCCTTTCGCACTACTTCTTTCATGTGCGGGTTTAGTCTCCGTTGTGCCTGAATTGAGGGCTTGGACTCCTCCTCTAGAAGGATCTTATGCATACAAAATGCTGGACTAATGCCTTTGATATCAGCAATTGTCCAACCTAAAGCTTGTATGTGCTGGCGTAAGACCTTCAAGAGCTCTTGTTCCTGTGAATCAGTCAGTGTAGCAAAAACAATCACATGTAAAGTGGAGTTTTCCCCCCAGATATGCATATTTAAGGTGACTAGGCAATGGTTTTAGTTCCAATTCCGGAGGCTGGATCCGAGATGGAACCATTGGCTTTGGAAACCCAGCCTTTTCATCACCTTCCACCTGCATAGGCAATGCTTCGAGCATTTGTGCCCTCTTTGACACGGTTAGCTCATCAAGTTCATTATCAGAATCATCAAACTCAGAATCAGCATCATAATCATTGTTCAAAATAGTATCAGTTCATGATTCTATGACATCCACCGCAAACACATCACTAGAGTCATTAGGGTACTTACTTTCATGGTATACGTTGAATTTTACCTCTTCCCCACAGACTCTGAATGTCAGCTCGCCCTTTTGGACATCTATGAGAGCACCACCCGTAGCTAGGAAGGGTCTCCCAAGAATGAGAGGCACTTCCTTGTACTCCTCCATCTCAAGAATGACGAAGTCGGCGGGGAAGATGAATTTTCCCACCTTGACTAGCAAGTTTTCCACCACGCCTTAGGGGACCATTACTGATCGATCAGCCAGTTTGTAGAGTGATTCGAGTCGGCTTGATCACATCTTGGAGTCCCAGCTTCTTATAAACAAAATATGGCATGAGGTTTATGTCGGCTCCAAGATCACAAAGCAACTTTGTAAACTCTGTCTCACCAACAATACATGGGATGGTGAAGCTCCCCGGATCTTCCCTCTTCTCTGGCAATTTATTTTGGATCACAGCACTACACTCTGGTGTGAGTGTTACTTTCTCCAAATCACTCCATTTTCTCTTCTTTGTCAACAATTCCTTAAGAAATTTGGCATACGTGGGCATTTGCTCAAGAGCCTCAGCTAGCCGAATGTTGATGCGTAATTGCTTGAAGAGATTCACAAATTTTTTGAAGTTCGGGTCCTCCAAGGGCTTCATCAACCTTTGAGGGAATGGTGCGGGTGGATCATAAGGTTTTAGATCCTCTCTCTTTGCATTTTCCCCTGCTGGTTTTGCACGGGCAGAATGCTTTTGCACAAGCAAATTGCTGTCGATTTGCCTGTACAATGCTGATTCCTCATTTTCTGCACAAGATCTTTCTCCCGGTGCTTCGTCTTCTGCCTCCGGTGCCTTTTTCAAGCTGCTAGGGTCTTCCAAGGCCTAGCCACTCCTCAATGTCCCCGCAACAACTTTGGCATCTTTTGGATTCCTCTCGATATTAGCCGGTAATGCCCCAGGAATCCTGCCTTGCATATCCGCCAAAGTTTGAGCCATCTGTCCCATCTGCCTCTCCATAGCTAGCATAGACGATTGTAAATTATTGTTGATGGCTAGCTGTTGAGTGACAAATTGATCCAGGCCCTTCAGATTATTTTCGGTTTTCTGCATGTGAGCCAGAAGCAATTCTTCAAGTTGTGGTTTCTTCTCTTGTTGAGGTTGTTGCTGCTGCAGGCCTGGAGTTGGAATGTTGCGAGCACCATTTGGGTTGTTGTTTTCCCAGGAAAAGTTAGGATGCTTCCTCCATTGCGGGTTGTAGGTA